CGAAGGAAAAAACGCTGTCGGAGCTGGATGCCTCCTCCTCGCCCACCAAGACGGAGACAATGAGAGTCCAGGCTGAGCACAACAAGGTAACTTCTCTTCCCGAGCAAAAAATGGGGATTGGAGCGTCTCCACCCAAAGGATCTCGGGGACGTGCTTTATTGCAGCAGGGCTAGAAGGATTAGCAAGGAGGATCTGCCCGGGGCTAAGGGCTCTCCCCAGAAGGTTGCACAGGCAGATCCATGGAGCAGGAGCCCACGCACTGTGCTCCACCTCTTTGCTGTTGGACCTGTTGCTTCCAGGCATTTGGCTCAGGGGAAAGGAGCTTATCTATAGCTCCTGCTGCTGGGTCACTCCAGCTTCTCCTGGAAAGCAATTCCCAGCCTTTTCGCTGCTCTTGGAGCCAAGTTAGCTCATGATACTGCTAATAAAAGTGATTTCATTAAAGAGCAAAGAACAGAAGTTGTCCAACTCTGGCTTGTAGCTGCTGCTTCGTTCCTACTTGGTGATTTCATCCTTTTGCCCGGTATCTGAAGTTCAAATGATTGTTTTCCAGGCGTTTCTGGCTGAATTGAAACAGAATTCAGAGAAGATCCAGAAGGTAAAGGAAGCGCTTTCTGGCTTGCTGGAGAAATATCCAGATTCTCCAGAAGCAGCGAACTGGAAGAAGATGCAGGAAGACCTGAGTAAGTGCCTGAAGCACTCAGTGAGGCTTCTGTCTTGAAACATCACGTTAGCAGCAGTTGAGGATCACGGGGCGACTCCAAAGTCACAGCAGAGCAGAGTCACTTCTAATTAAAATTCAGTAAATAGCGAACTTATCTCCAAGCTGTCTGGTGTACAAGGTGTTCCTGAGATGAGCACTGTCACCATTAATGAAATCTCCATGATGGATGGATATTTTAAAGACTTGCCTATTAAAATTACTTCTTTAAAAAAAAAAAAAAGCACAAAAAAGTGCGTTAGGGACATGGGTTGATTATTTTGATTAAAAGCTTCACTGCTTGATATAAAATTCTAGTCGTTAGTAAGGCTGTCCTAGGTGACTAAATGTTGACTAAACAAGACTCTCTATTTAAAAAGAAGCCCAGAGATTCTCTTCTTTGAAATAGCAGGAACAAGTTTATGGAGTTCTCCGTCCAGGAGATCTGAATCTGCTGTGTGAGGACTGATAGACATGAGAGTATCCTCATTTATCAAACCAGGGATGTGGGATGGCTTGGCCAAGGTCGGACCAGCTCATGGCAGCAGTGACTAGAGCGCAGAGATCCTGCTTGCCAGGTGGTTTTTCTTGATGAGCTTCAAGACCACGTAGCCATTAGAGATGGGTAACGGCGTCTTAGATGGAGAGTGAATGGAGCCACGGTAGTTTTACTGAAAAACTGAGGTTTCCCGTTGGGGAAACCACGGGGAGAGTGAAAAACCTTCTCGATGGAGGGGTGGGCAAGCCAGGAGTGTGACTACTGCCAACGCAGCCGGTGCTTCAGATTGCAGATGGGAAAGAGCCAGCCAGGCGACGGCCGAGCGGCAGCAGAAGCTGGAGGAGTCGGCGAACCAGCTGGCCAGCTTCCAGGCGGCCGAAGCCCAGCTGCGCCCTTGGCTCATGGAGAAGGAGCTGATGATGAGCGTGCTGGGACCCCTCTCCATCGACCCGAACATGCTGAACGCACAGAAGCAGCAGGTCCAGGTGAGCCGGGAGCTCTGAGCTGTCTCCGCGGTGGGTTCGGCACAAGGACGGGGGGTGGCTCCTCTAGGGTGTAAGGTAGAAGATAATGCTTGGAGTTGTCTTGCAAGTGCTCTGCCATGCAATGAGTGTTGAGAGACCTCATAGCTCCTCTCCCAAGTCCACCAAACCCCCCTGAGTGCAAACGACTGTGAATAACTTGAAAGGGGTGCGGTGCTGGAGCTCCTTTCCCCGCGCTGGGTTGACTCACCAGTGAATCACTTGGTCCCTCTTGGAGAGGAAAATTGCTTTAAACAAGACCAGCGCTGATGCTCTGCAGGGCTCGCCACTGCTGCCCCTCCGCCTGGCAGCCCGCCCTTGCCGTACCTCCTGCTTCCACATCCTAACGTGTCCGTAACGGGCCGCATCATAAACCGAACTGCCTCGGTTAGCATAATTACATTTCCTTCTCATCTAACTGCTTTGTGTCACGTTACATGGCAGTAGGACAAATAAGAGAGAGAGCAAAGTGCTGGAGTCACGGACCCCTCCCAGCTTTTGAAGTTGCAAGGTCACAGTCAATGGTCCAATTGCTGTCCCACCCCAGGGCTTGTTCCTCCTGATTCCGTGGGCTGGATAAAGCCCCTGGAGGTCTGGTTTGTTTTGACTGTGTGTACTCGGAGCTGTCACTTTTATGCAAACATTTTCATGTTCTTTCTGTTCCAGTTTATGCTGAAAGAATTTGAAGCTCGCAGACAACAGCATGACCAGCTCAACCAGGCAGCTCAGAGCATCTTGACGGGCCCTGGAGATGTTTCTCCATCCACTAACCAGGTGCGGGAAGAGCTCCAAGGAGTTAATCAGAAATGGTCCGAGCTAACGGAACGCCTCAACTCTCGCTCCAGCCAAATTGACCAAGCCATAGTGAAGAGCACCCAGTACCAGGAGCTTCTCCAGGGCCTCTCCGAGAAGGTGAAGGCGGTTGGGCAGCGCCTGAGCAACCAGTCTGCCGTCAGCACGCAGCCCGATGCCGTGAAACAGCAGCTGGAGGAAACCAGCGAGATCCGCTCGGACCTGGAGCAGCTGGAAGAGGAGATCACAGAAGCTCAGAGCCTCTGCGATGACCTCTCTGTCCTGATTGGGGAGCAATATCTCAAAGATGAGTTAAGGAAACGTCTGGAGACGGTGGCTCTTCCTCTCAAAGGGCTGGAAGACCTGGCAGGTGAGACAGCACGGCGGAGTTGCTTAAGAGATGTTGGGATGTCAAACTCCACCCCTGCTTTTTGCCAAAGGGCTCTCCCGTTACTGAGTTTCTAGGAATAATAGGAGAAGCACCGTTTATCTTTTTTTAGGGTCCTTCTGGGGTGTTTTATGTGGGACTAAGCACAGGAGAGTTCACACTCCAGACATACCTGAGTCTGGAGACGCTCAGTCCCACCAATGTGGCTCTTCAACAAGCATGTGCTGTGCCCAGGGGAAAAAAATGGTTCCTAAATTCAGAACGGGGTATGGAGAAGACCCAGTGGCCACCCTCTAATTTTGGGATGCCTCTTCTGGTTTCTGAGAGGTTGCCTTTAGAGACTAGTCAGGAGAACTGGGACTACTGCGTTGCCGTTGCCTCTTACTACTCAAGAAATTCATGAATCAGTGAGCAGAAAGGCTAGTGATGCAATGGAAACCTCCTTCCTGTTAATCAAAACACAGTTGGTGCATCTGAGATGATTTTAAATAATTGCACTTTGCTTATTTGATTTCGGCTTAATTGTCGCGTTCTAATCTTATTTCCATTTCAGCCGACCGGATGAACCGACTGCAGACTGCGCTTGCGAGTTCCCAGCAGTTCCAGCATATGTTTGATGAACTCAGGACCTGGCTGGATGACAAACTGTGCCAGCAAGCTCAGAGCCAGCCTATTTCTGCGAAACTAGAGAGGCTACAGAGCCAAATTCAAGAACAAGAAGAGTTCCAGAAGAGCCTCAACCAACACAGTGGCTCCTACGAGATGATTGTAGCCGAGGGAGAATCTTTGCTGCTTTCTGTCCAGCCTGGGGAGGAGAAGACCACTCTGCAAAACCAGTTGGTCAGCCTCAAAACACACTGGGAAGACCTCAGCAAACAGGCTGCTGACAGACACTCCAAGCTCAAGGACTGTTTGCAGAAAGCTCAGAAGTACCAACGGCACATGGAAGACCTCCTCCCTTGGGTGGAGGACTGCAAGGCAAAGATGTCGGAGCTGGAAGTAACCCTGGATCCGGTGCAGCTGGAGGCGACTCTTCTGAGATCAAAGGCTATGCTGAGTGACGTGGAGAAGCGCCGCTCCTTGCTGGAGATGCTGAACAGCGCTGCCGACATCCTGATTGATGCTTCTCAAACCGACGAGGATGAGGTTCGGGATGAGAAGGCTGGGATCAATCAGAAGATGGATGCCATCACAGAAGAGCTGCAAGCCAAGACGGGCTCCATCGAAGAAATGTCGCAGAGGCTCAAGGAATTTCAAGAGAGCTTCAAGAACATTGAGAAGAAGCTGGAAGGGGCGAAGCACCAGCTGGAGATCTACGATGCACTGGGGCCACAAGCCTGCAGCAACAAGAATTTGGAGAAGCTCAGGGCACAGCAGGAGGTGCTGCAGGCCCTGGAGCCGCAAGTGGATTACCTGAAAAACTTCACTCAAGGTCTAGTAGAAGATGCGCCAGATGGGTCTGACTGTTCCCAGCTCTTAAGCCAAGCTGAGGTGGCTCAGCAGGACTTCAAAGCTGTGCAGCAGAGAGTGAACGACTGCTGTACACTCATGGAAAACAAGCTTGAAGGGATTGGCCAATTCAATAATCGGGTGAGGGAGATGTTCTCTCAACTGGCGGATCTCGACGATGAGCTGGACAGCATGGGCCCCATCGGGAGAGACTCTGACAGCCTTCAGTCCCAAGCAGAGGACGTTCGCGCATTCCTGGGCAAACTCCACAGGTTGAAGTCTGACATCGAAGCTTCTGAAAGTGAATGTAAGAAGATGCTGGAGGACGAAGGGAGCCCCGATTTATTAGGACTGAAACGTGAATTGGAGACGCTGAACAAACAGTGCAGCAAACTGACCGAGAGAGGCAGGAACCGTCAGGAGCAGGTAGAAACGACACTGTCTCGTGTCGAGGACTTTTACAGCCGGCTGAAGGAGCTGACCCACATGACAACGGCAGCGGAGGAGAACGAGGCGTTGCAGTGGGTGGTGGGAACAGAGGTGGAAACCATCAACCAGCAGTTGGCAGACTTCAAGGTAAGTCTTTACGCTATCGCGTTTCTTAAGCGGTGTTTGGCGTCTGAAGGTCTCTCTAGTGTTGTGGTCTTTTGTGTAGCACCTCTAGTCTTCAAGCTATCACGGCTTCATTGTTTGTTGCTATAATGTCGGCGTTTTTGGTGTAGTAAAATATCCTTGCTCTGGAGAATATCAGATCAACTGTTGGACCTGATAGTTTGCGGTGAAAAAGTGCAGAAAGATTTTGTGATTGGGAGGAAAAAACGTCTCCCTGTTCTCCTTGTGATGTGTAACATTGACGTGCCAGTGCCTCGTGGTCTTGTAGAGGTGGTTGGCATTTGGGTTTTGGGGGAAGGAGGGAGGTTTTTGCGTCCATCTGACCTGTAAGTTGGCTTCATCTGAGAGTCTGAGAGATCAGATCATCCTGTAGGTCTTTCTACCTGGTCTACCATTCCATGTTCACTTCATCTGCGACGTATTTAAGTCCATTTTGGGGGTCCTTGGGTACAAATGAAGCACAGATAAACTGTGGGATGAGGGACACGCACAAGGAATAAAACCATGGCAAAGTATTGCCATGGGCTGTTCATGTTTCCAGCAAAGAGCTGATGGAGACCATCAAGGCTTGGATGAAATGCTGAGAGAGGGAAGAGCTGGAGTGTGTTTGATTTTTATTTTATTTTTTATACAGTATTACGGTGTTGGGTCATGCTGTTACACTACATTAATTATATTAATACTGCTTAGAAATTCTCTTGCTGTGAAACTTCTATTACTGATGTGCTCAGTAGCTGATGATTGGGCTGATTTACATCTGGCTGCTCGTTTCCTGGTGTTAATGGGGGCTGGGAGGGGGAGGTGTTTTTACAGCCATTTACTTTTCATCTCATGGCTAATTGATCCCGTTCCACCACTTAATAGCTCTGTGAAACCTTCACCAGGACAAGGTAGTCCTGTTTTGGGGTTGCCTTTCAAAAAAAGAGAGAGCTCGGAAGCATTACGTAAGGGGCAAACTAAAACTCATCTGCTCGCGTTGCTGGTGACCCTTGTGTTGGGCAGTCTTTGACATTGAGCTTGTAATGATTTGTCATTAAACATCACACAGTCACTTGGAACAAATATATCAAAAAAACAAGTTTCTAGTCCTTAAAACCAGTGGAACTTTCCTGCAGAGCAAGGGATTATTCCTGGTTGAGCAGGTCTCATTAGAAAGGATGATGAAACTCAGGATCGGTGTGGATTGCGTGGTTGGCAAGGTGCCACTTAACCCATCGGAGCCCTTGAGAATGGTCTATGTCTCAGTGACCTTGAGGATGACTATTTAAGACAAGAGTGTCCTGGGCTGCACCAGCCAAGGGTGCTTTGGGGGGATGACGTGTCCTTACCAGAAGTCATCCGTTGGCTGTTGAGGCCACGCAGTGCAGTTGGGGTCTTTGTTCACCGAGAGCTTAGTGGGAAAAATGAAAGTTGCAGCAGCGATGGGAGGGTTTTACCGTGCAACGGCTGAGAATACGATGGGAGAGAAGCAAGAAGGGTGGCTGGAGCGGCGGCGGTTGTTCCTCCTGCGCGCCGTTCACCCGGGAGCGATCAGTGTTCGCACGAATCGTTAATGTCACAGAGCAGATCTTTGCAAAGCCTCATCTCACGGTGCTCTCCGAAGGGAAATGCAATCCCAGATATCCATCTGCACGTGGAAGGGCATCGCAGCGGATGGGCAGGGACTGTCCCTACTCCATTTGTTCAGGAAGGAGAGTGGTGGGGAAGGCTGGTTTGGGCTCCGGGGGAAGCGGGGAGCACGGGGGGCTTTTTCTGGTGGCACCAGGCTTTTGTTTCTCAGCACCTAAGGCAATGTCACAACGGTCTCCCTTGGGTTGCAAACAAGATGCACACACAGTGTGGCCAGAGGGGACCAGAGGCAG